AACAGTCAAAGCAACTTGTCGAAGAGCCACAAATCAAATGCAGAAAATGAAACTTTGGTTGGTCGATACCACTTCCTTTTATGCAGAAGCAAAAACTGGAAAGAGCTTTAGGTGAAACCCTTTACCACCCTGTGGTAGAACCCAATTATAAAATGTCAGCTATGGTTTATGCTGTTGGCTAGACAGGCATTAGTGACTACAATTACTTGCACTTACAACAAATTTGAGGATTAGGAGGGGGTGTAAAATTTTATTATATCCACCATAAAATCATTAATAGGGAATGTTTTGCAAACTTTTGATTGGATTAGTGAGGATGATACATGACGCACCACAAAGAAGGTAAGGAAATAAGCCACAACGAAAAAGTGGCACCATTCCACTCCTGATGCAGAATAATGAAGTTGAGCCAAACCACATGGTGAGAAAAAATGATTTTTCCCCTAAGCATTATTAGAACTCACATGACCTTTCAATCAATCATCTAGAAAACAAAAATCCCAATTATATTAAACCTTAATTTGATGTTGGAAAGTATATTATTCCAGCCAACCTTAATTTATTATTTTTAACAATCAAGTACTTCCCTTAACTACCAAAACCCCTATTGCTCTTTGACTTGAATCAAACTTTGAAACCAGTGGTGTCATTCATCTATGCTAACAAATCATCTCCACTAAACACATGCTATGTATAAGCTGCCTCTTAATTGACCCATATTTTCTAGCATCATTGGTTGTCAATAATTTAGCAGCAGCCACTCCCTAAACATGTCTAATAGAACCAACAGATCTTAATTATATAACTTGTTTAATGAACACATAATCGAACCCAATACAACCAAACTTATGCAAATGTTTGTGTGTGTGTCTCCCGACATTCTGGGACGACATAAATAAAATGTAGCACGAATATGCATCATGCTTATGCTTTAGTGTTTTGAGGTGGACAACTCTCATCCATTTATTCATATGGACGTGTGAAATTTCTTCACAAAATGCATGCTCCAAGTCACACTGCTCCTCATTCACCATTGCAAAAACAAGAATGTCATATCTACCCAGTTTGCAGCCAGCAAGGTTCTACCATTGCTACCAAAAACTGGTTGACATGGAAATGTTTTGTAATCTAATAATTCAAAGAGCTCATGTTTAAAAAATATATATCCACCCATCTCCCAACTTGAACGTAAGTACTGACATTTCTGGACTTAAGTGCCTGCCTACATGGTGTCGATACATACAACCTTAACAACCTAGAAAGGCCGGAAGCCCATGGCAGGCACAACTGTCGTGGGCTTTCAGCCATGTTGATGTACTCATGGAAATCTGAGTGCACTATCTCAAAGGGCAAAGAAAAAGGATCACAAGATGTCAATGATTTTATGCCATATTCAATAGTCATCAAAGGTGTCTTGATACTATATTACTGGTCAGTACAAGATGATGTAAGACAAACAATTTAAAATTTCTGTTATCCTTTGAACAGCTAACCATTCAATAATTAATTTGAAATTTGATCTATAGAAAATAATTCACATATTGGAATGGGATACTTCTCTAACATGAAAGTTGTGTAATTATCAAACATCCACACCAACCAATCAAATATGTCTTTCCATTTCTAATTTGAATTGGAAGTCATAATTTCACGCTGCTGTGCAACTACCTAAAGTAAATTAAAAAAGAACAAAAAAAAAGAAAACAGAATAAAAAAGACGATGTTGTCAGCTAAAAACATTGGAGTGGCACAAGTGATAAAACAACCATGTCAAGTGACAATGAAACAAGAGTTACCGCCAACGTGATTTGTTCAATCCCTGATTCACTGGAATTTCCAAAGACTAATTTCAAGGTTAAAAGTATACAACCAAAGAGGGAGAAAGGTTACTTGTCTACTAAACTTGATTGAACAGCACCTCCCCAAGTAATCAGGGCATAAAATTAATTTCGTTAAGACAAATGTGCATCTATTAGATTCATCTTTTTGGAAAAAGGAAAGCCTATTCTTTTTTTTTCCTAAATAGAGGGATGAAGCCTGGAATCTTACAAGGGCCTTGAAGAGACCCAAAACTTAAGCTCTAAAGGGCCTCTTACCCATCCAAGAAAGCTCCAAAGTGCACGTCCATACAGCCCAATGTCAATGAATTTATAAGAACCCTATCAAAGTCGAAAAACCAGAACAAAGTAGATAACAAGTAACAAGTTCTAGAGAAGATAAATAAGATTTCAAATATTTTACAAAAGAAGATCAAAGATTGTGCCCCAAAGAAAAATGGTACATCATGATAGGACAAAGGAATAAACAAAATTCTTAAAAATCATAGAAGATAACTGTCATTGAAGATCTGTACAATAAATTACACTATTCTGTTTACCAAAAATAAAAGTTCATAATTCTTTTAGAGATTTGGCAAACAGCATAATTGGTAACATCCAGAAAATCGCATATCAAGATGTCACAGGAGGTGTGAGAGTAGGATGGAGGGAATATGAGCACCTTTACAAGCTATTTTTTTCATGCAAAAGAAAAATGGGGAAAAAATTAAAAAAGAATTTTTCACTTTGGAAATGGACAAATGAACCTTCAGTGGAGAGTCTAGGAGCCTGGAGCTCCCACTATGATTTGAACACAGATGAACAGTGGTTAAACACACTGCTTTTAAAACCTAATGAAATCTGGACAAAAAATTAGGTTGGTATTTAAAACTGAAAATCCTGTCTACACTGCTGTGGAAGGAAGTGAGGACCTTTAAAGTTAAAATTCTGGGCATAATTGATTTCATGATGGTAGAGTCTTTTGATCTCAATCTCAAGGTCAAAGGTTTATGGTCTGGTAGAGATAAGAGAAAGTTGAGATCCTTGTTTAGAGAAAGGCGGCTCTTTTAGAAATTATCTCAACCCAAATTTTGGAAAAGTAACATGAGCAACACAGATAAAAACACGTTTCCTACGCATAAACCACGTATGCGCTACTCATTCAAAATAATAACACCAGGGTTTTTACAGTTACACTCCAAGAATACTATTTTTGAAGCCCAACCACACAATTATGAAAACAAATTCTAGTTTCCATCATCACAAAATGAGATAAAAAGTAAGCAAGATCTTGAAATCTAGGAAAACAGGGAGATTTTTTCCAATCTATTTAAATTACCTTCCAAACAGCCTGTAATAATGATGATACTAGATACACATTCCCGGTTAAAATTACACAGGCAACTGAAATTGCATTATAATAACAAAGACTTCTATGTAAATGAAATTGCATTGTAATAGCAAAGATTTCTATTCTATGCACTGAATTTGCATATAAATCTATATAAAGCACCCACCTGGGTTAAGCAGTTGCAACAACTCTCAACATCTGCATGTATCATCAGCAGCCTCTAGAATTCAGACACCAAGCCAGAGAATGTAAAACTCAGTCTACATGCACAAATGAAGTACAATCAATGTCCTGTAAGGTGATTCTCCCCATGTATAAATCATGTATGCAATCAGGACAAACAGGGAAGAACTTCAGATTGAGACTTTCACTAATTGCATCCATTCCAGGGACCCATTTTTTTATATCCATGGGGTTCAGATTCCACCAGTTTTGCAAAAGTCGTACCCAATAAACAACAGTATCAGTTTTGTCACAGATGAATAGAACTTTTACAGACATTGATCAAGTGTGCAGTTCCCAAACTGTGATTAAAATTAACAAATAATAAAAAGGATAAAACAAAACTGAAACAACAAAGAGGAAGAGAAAAGAGAATAAAAGCTAGCTAAAACATACTCTTATCCTATCACAAATACTAAAACAATTTCATAAAGGGTGCCACTATATATGTCTGCTTGAACCATATTACTATGTTATGTGAAAAGATAAGGTACAAAAGAGAAACATGATTGACATACCAAGGATTATGTAATTCTCAGTGCTGAATGTTGAGAAACAGACACAACTTCCATTAACCAAAACCAATCAAGGTGCTAGTAGAAAAAGGCTCAAAATACATATAAAGAAACAGAAACAATTCCTCTAAAAAAAAAGAAACAGAAAAAAATTTAAGTATATTACATAGCACAGATCTAGTGGCCCAAGCATTGTATGGATGGCATGCTTACCTGATATTTGTCATAATGATGAGCGTTGAATCCACCATGATGATATATCGGAGTTGCATTATGAGGATAATGATGTTTTCTAAAGTATGTGCAGCAGCATGTGGTTTCTAGCATATGAAGAAACTCACAATCCTAAGTTCAGAAATTTGACTGCATGGTAATAGTTCCACATTTAAATGATTTCTAGCATCTGAAATATACTTCTTGTTTTTCTCCAACCACAACCTTTTCTTCTTAATATTTAAACCCATCCTGGGTAAAACAATCAAAGGTTGAAGCAAAAAGCTGCACTCTGGTGTCATAACAACATTGGCTACCACCTCTTTTCCGAAACAGCAACAATAACAAACCATAACAAAATCCTTTTTAGTGTAGTGTTGTAATTTGAATCCAAATTTTTTAAAATTTAAAAGTTAATAAAAAAAACCTCAACAAAAATAGTTAATTTGCAAAACCAGCAATGATATGGTTGACAGAACAGATGAAAACAGACCTATTAAGTAAACAACCACAACAAGACTTGATTCCTTCTTTTCGAAAATATATAACTGTATCATTTATTACATGAACATTAATGAGTTTCAGATAGAACTAATATGACAGAAAAATACAGCAAGTAGGAAAAGGATGAACATTCAAAAGAATATAGGTAACTTCTGCTTGAAAAAGGCTGACATTCTAAAATATAAAGAAAATATATATCCATCGTTACAGATTTAGAATAGTCACTGCAAGTATAGGCATCAAGAAGAATTCATCGTTTTCGATCATCGTACTACAAAGATAAAACAAAAAATAAATAAAAAATGATAGAACTCAACTTAGTAACATTTCACTAGAGGTATAACAGTAGTAGTATGTGGCAAGCATGTAAATTACAGTCTAGAGGAACTCAGAAGGTGAATTGGCCTCCGGCTTCCCATTGTGGCCCAAATCCCCCGGATGCTGCAAATTTTGCAAAACCTGAGGCGGCAAAGCCCCTAAACCACCTCCCAGCCCATCATTCACCGACCCAAAAAATTGACAAACTAGCCTAGCCATGACTCCAAGAATCTGCATTTGGTTCTGGCACGCTTCAGCATGCATTTGCATCATTTGCTTCTCATGCTCAATTTGCAAACTCACCATCCTCTCCCTCCACTCCAACTCTGCCTCTTCCCTCTTCTCCTCCATCCTCATCCTTCTACGCCGCTCCTCATCGAATTCCCTCTCTAGCCTCAACCTTTTCTCAAATTCCTTTCTTGCCCACATCACCTCCCTCTCTTCTAACTCCAATTCTCTATCCTCCAACCACTCCTCCCTCTCATTCCTCCTTTTCTCTCTCCTGCACTCAAGTTCTTTCCTCTTTTCCTCTCTCTCAGCCTCACTGTTCTCTCTCCTACACTCCCTCTCTCTCCTCCTCTCTTCCCTCTTCACCACCACATCCCTCAAGTCCAAAACTTGTGCACTGACCAACCCCAACCTCCTATGTAATCCAACCTTACACAATTTCCTTTTTGGAGCAAAACCCACATCCCCAATTTCTCTCTGACCCCCAAATTCACCACCTTCACTCCTACCTAATTCCACGAGACCATTATCACCATCACCGCTACCGTCTTCTTCTTCTTCTTCATCTTCCAATGGTTCTTCTTCTTCTTCTTCTTCGTCCTCTTCTTCCTCTAAATCCTCAGAGTCAATCCCAAACCCCAAGTCCCCACAATCCCCAAAAACATCAAGGCTCTCACTTTCGCACGCCCTCTTGCCCTTAACATCAAGCTCCACATCCCCAAACACTTCTTTGTACTTCAAGAAATTCTCCCAGTGGTTTTCACCATCTTTCCAGTTGAACTCGTCCTTGGAGACCCGGATCTTCTGCTTCACACCCAGGTACTGGTGGCGCATGTTTTGGACCTTGATCGAGACGTCGCGCCAGGACCATTTGAAAGGGAAGGTTACTGGGTCGTGCAGATGATGCACCGAGTTCACGTGGTCCGCTATGGGCTTGAATTTTTTCTCACGAGTTTTGAGCTTGGCTAGAGCCCCAGAGATGAGAAGCTCCGAGTACTTGGTGAGAAGGGTCAGCTCTTCGAGCTCCGACCATTTCTTGCGCTTCATTTTGAGAAACTACTTTGAAAAATCAAACATTCCAGGCAGAGAGAGAGATTCAGAGATTTGGGGACGAAGGAAAGGAGAAGGGAAATGGAGCTGTGTTGCTTTCCATTTTTTCTGAGCTCTGTCTTCTTCGTTTTTGTCTTTTTTGTTGAGGTAAGTAAAGGTCACGTGAAAGTCACGTGAGCTCTTTTTAATATTTTTTTGAATTTTAAATTTTAAATTTAATTTTAATTTTAATCCAATTAGGTCAAAAATCTCCCCCTTACCCCTAGATCTCCCCAAATCAACGGTCATGAGATGTTCTTAGCTTGTGATGATCAGAGTGGCTTAAGATTTCAAATCCTCAGTAAATCTTTTCAGTGGATTTCAAAAATAAATAAATCAATATTATATTAGATTATTAATTGAAGCGGAAGCGAAAGCCGCGCAAGATACATGACCGTTTGAAGGTTACGCGTTAAGCTATATCAATCAACCCAACACAACCAGGAAAACAATACTCTGATTTCAAAACCCTCATTCACCAGCTTCAAATCACAAAGGAAAAACAATTGAGCGTTAGCAATCGAAGCCCTCTATTTCACATCAACCTTTCATCGTCTTTTTCGTTGATCACCGACTGCTTCAACGAGTTCTTCTCTCTCTCTTGCTACCCAGTTTCTGTTTTTTCTGCGTCTCTTTGCTTTCGTTTTGTTAGACCCAGAAACCCATTTCATCAGAAAGCTTCAATTTTTGTTTTTCAAACAATGGGTTCGAGTTCAAGGCCAAAGAAAGAACAGAGCTTGTCGGTTGCTGGCCGTGAGTGGGTTCGAGGCCGGATACTCGGAAAAGGGGGGTTTGGGTCGGTGTATTTGGGTTGGGTCAAAAAACCCAATTTGAGAGCCGATGTTTTGCCCTCAATTTTCGCGGTGAAGTCGACATTATACTGTGATGCGCTTGAGTTGGTGAGGGAAAATTCACTTCTTGAGACGTTTAGCAACTGCCCGTTTATCATCCATCGCTATGGTGAGGATGTGACGGCTGGTGTTGACGGCAATAAGGTATTCAATATGTTCATGGAATATGCCGATGGAGGAACAATGAGAGATTTGATTAACAAGTCTGGGGGGTTGCCTGAATTTCAAGTAAGGAAGTATACAGAGGCAATTTTGAAAGGGGTTAAGCACATTCATGAAATGGGTTATGTGCATTGCGATTTGAAGCCGGAGAATATATTACTTGTCTCCAAAACTGATGCTGGTGGTTCTGAATTTGTGCCCAAAATTGGAGACCTGGGTCTGGCAAAGAGGATTATAGAGAAGCGTTCTGGAGGCACTACACTGTATTGGTCTCCAGAAACTGTGCTTCAAAATATTCAGCTGCAACCTTCTGATATTTGGGCATTGGGTTGTGTTGTGCTTATGATGTTGACTGGGAGGAAGCCATGGGATTTGAAAGCCGGGGCGAGACCTTGGGACCTAATGCTTCAGATTGCTTCAAAATCTCCCGCTATTCCTGTTTGGTTATCAGAAGAGGCCAAAGATTTCTTGGGAAAGTGCTTTGTGTGGAGCCCTTCTGAGAGGTTCACAGCTGCTAAGCTATTGAATCATCCATTTGTGACTAATCTGGATCCAGTAAAGGAACTCTCTTCGGTGTCGTCGTCGCCTTCTGAGCAACAGATTCTTCCTTTGGGATTCAAGACCTGTCATTCCAAATCGAACCGCTGTCTGCCAAAAGCCATCGGCTTTCCCTATAATTGGTGCTGCTTAGCTTGATTCTTAAGTTAGAATTTTGTATATGCTTGTTCGTAAGCGTCTCTAACAATTTGGTGTAATACTTCATTATCCTAAATTTGTATCTAATTTGATGTACATTCTTTGATTTCATTCATTATTAATACAGAGCTAATGCCACATTTTTTTACATGTTTCTTTGGGTTCCTTTCATGTTATTCATTGCGTCTTTTGGTTTATACAAGATTGGTAGTTTACAAGTTGGAGTAAATGAAGATGTGCCAACTTCTTAAGCTCATTCAAAGGTTGAAGGATCTAGGACATTTGCATTTTCACCTATATATGTACCAACTTAATCAATTAAACTCAAACTCTGTCAAGAATTCTATTGGTATGATAAATCAATTCTTCAGTCAGATTCTGATTTAGTGGAAGGGCTTTATGAGAGAGGGCTCTTCAGTTCCTTGAACAAAATTGACAGGTTTCCTCCGATAGACAGAATATTTTGACTATTTCAGCAAGAGATCAGCTTTTTCTTTTTATGCATTACATAAAAATATCTCACGCAGCCTCAAAATGACAAAATTTGTATAAATTACATAACTTAATGACGAAAGTTGTAAACTGCTGGCGTTTCACTGCAACTTGGGTGTCCTACATCTCAACCATAGGGTGAAACTGTAGATGTTGAATGGTAGGGAATGAGAGAAATAAGTGTTCAACTGCTGGCGCCACACTAGAACTCGGGTCATCCAGCATCTCAACCACTGGAGCAAACTGCAGATGTTGAGCAAAAGAAGTGGGAAAAAGAGGTAGAAAGTGAGTACAGTTCAATTTTGAAAACAAATAAACACCGACCTCATCATCATCATCTTCAAAGTACATCCCATCAACGGCAACGTTTTGCTGGAATTCCCATCGAACGCAAGTTTGTTTTCAAGCAACTCCTTGAGTTTCCTTCTCTTTAAGAATAAGAACCATTGAAATGAGGATTCCTCTTGACATGATTAGCCAAAAAAGAGACGAGCACTTGTAATAATTCAAACTTTTTAGCGTTCTTTAACGATTCTAGACACAGATATCTTACATCACGTATCCAATTGTAGGAGACAACGGAGTTCTCTGACCACGTTTTCATATGAAATGCAACATGCAAAGTAAATATGGCAGGGGAATTCTTGAGCAGACAAAGATGAAAATGTATTGAGTGGTGTAGTTAAATAAGGGTGTCTTTGTCTTTTCAAGCCCAAAACGAGTCACTTTTCTATATTTTTCATAAATGGGTTAGTTTCATAATGAGCTAATGTTTTTTGGGTCATTTTTTTGATGTCACCCTACAATCTTCCAAAGCAAAATAACGTAAATGACACAGAAAACATGCATGGAACCTTACCACTAATTGCACCAATGCCCCCTGAAACTTCAGTCAAATCCCAACTTACCCTCCCAAACTTAAAATGACTCACTTTCATCACTTGACCGAGGTTTACTGATCCATTTTGCCCTCTACCGTCAACTCTATCCAAAAGTCTGTTAACTTTGATGACGTGGCAAGCAAAGCTCACATTGCCATTGATTTCTACGAACTAGTTTGCTCTTTGGTTTCAACTTTAACTCCATTGAGAGCTTATAATTTGGATCTCTCATACGTGCTTGTATATCATTGAAAAAGTGAATATTAAATCTTAGGCCCTCCCTGTCTAAGCTCTGCATATTCTGGTCCTGAAACTATATTTTTAAATCATCCTATTAGAATATCTAAGTCACTGATGACCTCCCATACATTAATGCATCGCGCATCTGGCTCTCTCTTCAACTTTTTCAAGGCATTCTCAACTGCAATTTCCTAGCTTGATTTCTGGGGGATGAAGTTTCCTCAAACTCAAATAGTTTATCTATATGTTTATCATTGCTTTCATTTGTGTTGCAAAGCTCTCTCTTTTTTCTTTTATTATTTTGTGAAAGCAAAGCTATATTTTTTTCTGCAGCAATGAATAGCAAGAAAACCTATTTATACAATAGGAATAAAATATACAACGTTGGCTTCAATGTAACAGTGAACTGAAGTCGTTTTATCCCGCAATCCAAAGAAGTTGATGCGGTAATGGCACAGCTTCAAGCAACGAATTAATCTTCTATGAGAAGTTTTATCAAATACGTAGACTGCACATCATAATTCTAACATCATGCTAACCACAATCCATACGCGGGTCTTCTACATGTCTAAGAGGTAACAATATGGTTATAAACATATCCATATCAATATCAGTAGCTATGAAATTCAAGAAATGAAGCAAACCTTGAAAGTCTGGGCAAAACCCAAAGCTAATTTTACTTGTTGAAGTGCTTAGAGCAGAACCAGACACAGCTTCGAATCTGAAAGTGAAAAGAGACAAACGGGTATTTCAGAATTTGATAGGAGCCTCCAAACCATTATCTTCTCAACTTGTTGGGGGGTTTTGGGGTGTTTATTGACAGTCCCGGAGGAAATTGTCAGCTGATTACCGATGAAGCACGCAGTTATAATAATCCGGTCAATAAATTAGTTATTGAGGAAATATTTGAATGCAGCACAAAATTTATCTATCACAATTGCAAAAACATGGCCATGACGCCTGACCCATGGTTTCTTTTGTCTTGTTGAAAACATTACATCAAGTTTTTTCGGTCAAACTAAAGTGGGGGTGCAAGTCGGATTGGAAATTCCAATTTCGATACGAAAATTTTCGATTTTGGCAAGACGAAATCAATTTCTACATTTGAAAAAAAAAAAAAAAAAATTTTTTCAAAAAAAAAAAAAAAAAAAAAAAAAAAAAAAAAAAAAAATGGAATGGTAATTTCAAGATTTCGGAAACTTACGAATATCAAAATATATATAGGGTTTCGAGTTTAAAATACACATAATGACTAATTTCATGTTGAACTAAATATGACTAAATAACCAAATAGACATTGTTGATTAATTTCAAAAATGATAACAACATCTAAGTAATAACATATAATAGTTTTCGAGCTTTTCATATGATTTTTCAATTTTGAGCCAATTTTAACCTTTTAAAATCGTTGGATATGTTTAAAATTTTCAACTATTTTCCTAATCGTAATGGATACTGAAATTCTGAATTTTTTTTTGGAAAAGATTCAGAAATTTTTTGGATTGAAATTTGAATGCCATGATTCCGATCTATTCCATTTGAAAACCAGCCCTAGTGCATATTTTTGTTTTTTTTTTTTTTCTTTTTTTTTTTTTTTTTTTTTTTTTTTTTTTTTTTTAGGGTCAATCAATGTTGATTCAAAAACCATAAATGGGGAGGAAACAAATAGGACAATACAAAAGCCAAAAAAGACCAACTAAAGGAACAAATTACCACAAAACAGAGAAGATTAAATATAAACCAGTACAGTCTAGTATAAAAACTTTCCCTGTTACCACTGGTGGGTCCAGGAATTTTTAAAAGGAGGTGCAACATTTCAAAGACTAACTGTTCCACATAACAACAAAATTTACTTTGGAAATTGTCAATTGTTTAGACAAAAATAACTGTATAATTGAAAGATACTTTTTTTTTTTCTATTTTGAAAAACTTGCATGATGCACATTCATGAATTGAATATATTGATTAATTGGATTTACAATATTGTAATGTATATATGAACTAACAAAATTCGCTTGTCATAAATGTGCAATTTATATATTCAAGGGGGGAAAAAAGGAACTTGCAATTTATTTCTTTGTGTCGAAGATTAAATTAACAAATAATTTCATTAATAATTCAACAACATTGTTATGTTCAATATGTGCTTTTATATATATATATATATATATATATATATCAATGTGGTTTTAGGTTGGTTTCTAAAGAAACTCTAGCTGCTCTCTCCCTCTGTGAGTCATAAAGGAAACTTCATAGAAGGGGGAGGAGGAAGGTCACTATCCTTCATCTCTTCTCGTCTTTTACTTTTAGGTTAGTGAATAAGTTCATTGGAGCGTTTTGAAAAAAAGCCCCTTGTGGTGGTTTCTTTTTAGCCATGGTTAGATTGAAGTTCCCCATCACCCCTTTTAGTCTATGTTCTCAATAAAATCCTGCTCCCAAAACCCGCTCCTTGACATCATTCATGTTCTCTAAATTTGATTCTACATTGTCTTTGACGGAGGTTGTTGCAAATCACCTAATTGTACTTTGGAAATGTTGTTTTCGTTTATTTGTTCGCTCTTATGTGTAGGTAGATCATTGTAAATCATATTTTCCCCAGATTTGTTACAGATGTGGTGGTAGGTGTGGCCGCGATAGCGCTTCATCAAGTGGTGGTGGTAGGGTTCGTCTAGGCTCATGGGTTGTTTTAGGGTTTTGGTTATGTTGGGTTTGTGGGCTTTGTTTGGGCTTATGGTTAATTGTGGTGATGTGGACTAGTAGTTTTAGTGATGCTTTGTTCGCGTTAATTGTGTTTTTAGCATGTTAGTTTGTTGCACTCTTGGGATTTGTATTTTAGATGTCTTGTTGATGTCTTTGATTGTACCATTGAAGTTTATCCAATGAAGTTTCTATTTAATTTTAAAAAAAAAAAAGTGTTTTTAGGTTAAGCCATCAAACTTTAATGACTACTCTACCCTCAAACTAAAGTTGCAGCATGACGTGGTCTTTAATAGAACAAAAATTAAATATGTCACAGTCGTAACACGATATTGTCTGCTTTGAGCCCCCCCTCTCTGCCATTATAATTTTGTTTCTAGGAACTCACAAGCAACTTCCCAGTGGGTCACCCATCCTAGGATTTCTTTAGACCCAACTCACTTAACTTCGGAATTCCCATGACTCCGAAGCCAGTGAGCTCGCAAAAGGCCTCGTGCAAGATGGAGGCGGGCATGTACATATAAAGCACATCACCCCCTCTCCATTGGTCGATGTGGGATGTTACAAAACACGTGGAGATTTTAAAACATATTAATTGATCTGGTCCAAAACAATTTATTTTGGCGAGATCATTAAAAAGAAAAGTAGATTGCGCTTGCTGTTGTTGCTCTTCACTCCAGTCTTTCCACAAACAGGTTGTAGGCATCTTGCCCAGCCGTCCAAGAGCTCAAGATGAATGACTTCCATGGTATTTTCAAGCAAGGGGAGGTGCACCTGCGCCTCTTTACACCTATGTGGGTCCTCTACTACCCATCACAAAATCAAATCAAATTACAATGCAAAGTTACTGTCACCCGCAAAAGGGACGGAGGCCGCACCATAATGGCCACAAAGGAGGGGATACACCACCACCACACAGGTTAGCATTGTTGCACATAAAGACCTACCGATCTTCCACCAAAAACAAATATTCCCCAAAAATCGGAAACACATTAGCCCTTGAACGTTCCTCCAAAAGTCACCTTCTCCAACACACCCAAATTTGCCAATGCACCTAAGAGAAAACAACAACCAATCACAACACCAAGGTATATACCAAAAGACCAACACCAACAGAAAAGAGAGTATTGGTGCAAGCACCACCAGAGCAAGAGCCGTAGCAAAAGCTCTAAATACAATCCGAGAAATGAGAGACAAAGCGCTTATAGATATGGTTGTTGTATCCTAAAGAAGAATGTAGATCCCGAAATAGGATAAGGCAAAAAGAGGATGAGGAGTTGAGAAATACATAAATCCGGTTGAAGAGGTTGTTTGGCAGAGAACAAAGGACACAAAATTGGCATGAGACATTTACTCTTAACACAGAGCAAAAGGCTCAAGCAGACACCACAGAGGGAAGAGGCACCCTACTCTCAAAGAGAGCCATAGACATAGCCAAACAGGCTCAAACCGAAAGAAGAGCAACTCCACCAAAAAGCCCAAGGCAGGAGAGAATGAGGGGAGCAAAACGAGAGAAAGAGCAAACAATATAAGTGAAAAACAAAAACAATAAAAAAAAGAAAAAAAGAAAAAAAAAAAAAAAAAAAAAAAAAAAAAAAAAAAAAAATGGAAAAATTCTGCAAAAACATAGCAAAACTCCTTAAGAGGTGTGAAGAGGGAATGAAAAGGCAAGAGAAATGGGATGAAGGAGCAACCCATAAAAGAAAGAGAGAGGAAGAGGAAAAGATAAAATAGAAAAAACCCAAATAAAGGTGGAGGGAGAGAACAGGAAAAGAGAATAAAAAGATAGGGGAAAGGGTGAGGACTATGGGGAGGAAGGGGGAGAGAGAACGAGGGAGGAAGAGGAGGGGGGAGAAGGGAGGAGGGTCAGTGACCACGTCCCCCCTAAGTGGAGTTGAAGAAAGGGGGCTGGGTTTGAAAGAGAAATTCGCTTCTTTTGAAAGTGAGAGAGAGAGAGAGTTTGTCTCCTCCAGAGGCCAGTATGCTTAAGATTTCAATTAAATATAATGCGTTGAAAAATCAAACAAATTTGATGTTTTTTTTTCATGTGAAGATGAAAAATCGACATTTTCAAACATTATTCAACAAATCGTCGTTTATGATAATACAAGAGTATTTATGTTTGATTGACACTCCAAAAGATCATTCTCGCCTCTTCCATGTTTTTCACTTGATAAAAAAATACAAATCAATAATTTCGTTTGTTGATTTAAAGAATTATGCTTAATTCATATCTTAAGCATAGATGCATGTTGGTGCCTTGGTACCCCAACTCCGTACTCTAGAAATCCCCTTCACTGCTCGTTTGGACTTTAGTTTCCTTGTGCAGACAACGGCAGCAGCGCTGACTTCCTCCGTCTAGGGTTTGATACTATGTTTAAGGTTTCTGTGATTTTAGGGTTTTTTGTTTTTTTGGCCTTAGACTTAGGTATTTTGGATTGGGTTAATATGGTTGAGTCCCTACTTCTATTTTGTTCACTTTTGTATTTGGGCTCTCATATGACAGTGTATGCTTTTGCTTGGTAATGAAAATTTTCATTTCCCTTGACAAAAGAAAGCCAAACTATACGACTTCAATTGCCAAAATTGAAACTATAAGTTTTTAAGTGAAAGATCTACAAAATTGTTTACAAATTTTGCATCATGTGCTTCATTAAAAGTTATTTCTTTGATGCCCCCTCTCATGTTGAATTTATCTTCCTCTTACTTCTTTTATTGGAAAATGTTCCAGATGTGACTCCCCACTCCCCCATTAATCTAAAAGTATATATATTTATGCAAATGACCTACTAGTGTAGTGGTTTGGAGTACTTGCCTCCCAAAGAAAAATTATAGGTTCGAGTCCTAGCATCTCTGTAATGTGTATGAATTTAATATATTATTTTCTATCTCAATAAGAAAGGTATGTATATACACACAGAGTTTCCATTGAGGGATCCCCTAAATAAGCTTATTTGAGGTACATTCCCCGTAGGGCCCACTCAGATTGTATTTCACTAATCCAAACCGTCTATTTTGTAGATACTCATTCAAAGATCATCTTTACAAAAAAATCACTTAAATCCAATATCATTTGACCACTCAATTGGGTTATTGAAATTTTAGTACTTTCTTGAAGCACCGTGCTCATTGATTTTGTATGACACAATTGGATGTCGAAACGGTTTTCGATTTGTCTAATTTTTGTAAGGATGATCTGTGAATGAAAACCTAAAAAATAGATAGTTTGGATCATTGGAAAAAAAAAAAACTGCAGGGCACCCTAAAGGTCAACCCTCAAATAAAATTATTTGAAGAATCCCTCAATAGAAGGGGACTATATATATATTTGAAAATGATTTAGAGACTTTTACACCTTGTGAACATTAATTCAAGTTTAGTCTCTTGGTGTTACTGTTCACATTTAGTTTTTATTATTTATCATTGTTTGGGCAAGTGTCCATTTTCAATTGACCACATGTTCATTTCAGAAGAAGTCCTCTTTCAGTAGCCAAGCATTATTATTATTATTATTAAATTTATTTTTGAGGTAAATAAAGTTGAATCATCTATAATTTTATAGGTACAGGTCACATAGATGGCACCCACACTATTTGGATATGTGTAGGAAAAAGGAATGAGCCATTTATGGAGGTTGTGCTGATGGTAAATGCATATACTCTTTCATGTGTTGATAAGTAAAGAGTGTTGCTATTTCCACTCACCTGTCCTATTTTCCCACACACCTTATCTTCAAAAATTTTAAAGACAAATTTGCCCTTTTATAAAATGACTTCTAAGGACTTAAGGAAAAACTCTCAACACACCTATAACCTCCGCTACCTACAACGTCTTATCAACATTCTCATGTGTGCTTTCGGGGAAAAATGTGTATTATCCAATATTCAAACAAACCCAATAAGAAAACATGAACAAATGCTCAAAATTGTGAAAGAAATTCAAAATCCCAATATTTCCTGAGAGATCCATTGTTTGGTCACTAAGAAATTAAAAGGGAAAAAAAAAATAAAGAAGCTCTAAGACCCATATTTGGTTCTATAAAGAAAAGTATAGGCCAAGTCAAACTCAAAGTGAACCAAAACTATTGGTTCCATATTCTTGTTGAATAAGATTTTCTGGTGACCCAAACAGAAATTTAGGAGAAGACCCACATGGGTAGGACACATGGAGGTTTCAAGTGCGGAGAGGCGGTGGTCAAAGGAGTTGAGAATGGAGACAACGCTGTTAGAGATGGTTCTTTCGCAATCCATCTTCTTCTTTCTCCTCCTTCCCTCTTCTTTTGCATTCTTGTTTTGAGAGTTGGAGAGAGAGGGATTGAATTTAATTGCATTATTAATTAATTAAAGGGTATTTTATGAATAATGGTGGGTGGAAAGATAAGATTATGTTTTTTCAAATTTGCATGGTGGATGGGAAAATATGACAGATGAGTGGAAATATTAAGGGTCAAAGATGAAGTCTTTCCTCTCCCACCCTCAAACCCCCTCCTCCTTCAACCATCGTTGTTACCCTACCCTTGACAAACCTTCCGGCATAGAAACACCTCCCCCTCGTCCAATTCTCCCCACCCCCCACACCTCCCCCTACCCCCAAAACCCCCCTCCACTCCACTTGGCCTAGAATTTGAAGCCTCGACACCTCTACAGGGTTTAAAAAAAAAAGAAGATTGGAGGTAGAGGCAGGGAATGGTGGGCCTTTTGGTTATAAGCTCATGAACTCTATTGGGTCGGGAAAAATAAAGAGAGGGAGAGTTCTGGACATTTGATGGGTGGGCCTTTAAGATTGGCGAGACTGAGTGGTGCAAGTCCTCGTGGGCGTGGTAGAAATAAATGGGCCGCCGCTGGAGCACGTAGGGTTAGAAACCCCAACATGGCACATAATAGTCATGACGCTGAAAACCAAGACGGAGTCTCTCAGAGTTGAGGCTTCGAATAAACTGCAAGAGGTTGAGACGAAACTGGAAAGTTTGGATTCAAAGGAAGTTAAAAAACTTAGGGTCTTAGGGTTGTGGTGGCTGGCCCAATGTAGCCACAAGGTCTTAATGATACAACTAGCATGGAACTGTCAGGATTTGGGGACTGCCGTGACAGTCCAAGCTTTAAGGGAGTTGATTTGGTCCCGAAATCCCTCTATGGTGTTTTTACTGGAAACAAAACAAAACACTCATCGAATGTATCAACTGAGGGCACAGTTTGATTGTTCGACAGGTTCCTTTTTATGTATGTCATTGCATTTGAGATCCATTAGCTTTATATAATACGATTAGTAAATGAAGATTATGAAATTGAATCTCAAATAATTAGACCTTTCACCAAGCATTTCAAGGGAATTGTCCCATCTGTCTAAAATTAGCAAGGAAAGTTTACAGCAGTGCTGTATTTTGTATAGCATCCATCCTCGTCAATTTACATGGAAATTTCAACTATGATACTATACAAGGTTACACATACTAACAAAAAAGGTCTTCTAGGTGCAATGATTTTATACTGATCACACACTGGTTATGACATAAAGCCTACTGTAGATGACCAAAGTCGTAACCTGCTGGCGTTTCACTACAACCCCAGGTCATCCAACATCTAAACCACAGGATTGAATTGGAGATGTTAAATGGTAGAGGATGAGAGATTTAAGTGTTAAACTGATGACGCCACACTAGAACTCGGGTCATCCAACATCTCAACCACAGGAGCGAACTGCAAATGTCGAGTGTTAGGGGTTGTGAGAAAAAAACAGGTGGGGAAAGTGAGCACAGTTCAATTAAAATAAATAAATAAATACCGACCTCGTCATCATCTTCAAAGTACATCCCATCAACTGCACTGTTTCGCTGGAATTCCCATCCAAGATTGTTTTCAAGCAACTCCTTGAGTTTCCTTGTCTTTAAGAATGAGAACCATGCAAATGAGGATTCGTTGACATGATTAGCCAAAAAAGAGATGAGTACTGGTAGTAATTTAAGCTCGAAGGGTTCTTTAATGAATTTAGACATAGATATCTTGTATTACTTTTCCAATTGTAGTACACAGACCAAGTTTTCATATGAAATGCAACATGAAAAGTGACAACAAGGAAGCACACAGATGAGCTACCATCTCTCATAAGAAGCAAAGTTTTGGAAACAAATACAAAAAGAGATGACTTGACAAGAAATGCTTCGTATGCAGAGCAATGGCAACAAAGTAAAGGATCAGAAATCAAGTCAGGACTCCATTTAAATGAAAAACACATCAAAAGGGCTAAAGGAAGGATTAGTATAACGAGGGGAGTGAGTGAAAATTAGGGTAAACTCAACATAATCAAAGTGAGACAAATTTATATTAGGTAACCCAAAATAACAAAGTACCTAAAAACATTATAAATATTCCAACAAAATACTATAAATTCTATAGATGGAATTAAATCAATAACCATCAACTACATTTTAGTTCCAACAAATAAAAACAAAACAAAAATAACCTAAATTCTAACCTTGTGCCCATGCCTAAAGTATATAAATTTCTTTTTCTTTCTTGCATCCATCTTCAACCCACCCTTGCCCCAATAAAATGGTTATGAGTTAATATACACTTGTTTGCTAAAGAGTCAGTGTTTAACATATGTAAAAAGTGAACTACCTTATTATAATAATAAATTCCATGTTTAAAGCAACAAAATAAAGGCTTCTCTGTGCGTGTGTTTTCACATGCATATCATGATAAATACAATGGCAACTGTGAAGTAAAAATCTGATGAAAACAAGAACCGCAGAAATAATAAGAAAGAGAGCATATCAGTAGAATCCAGATGTCTACTTTTGCCTGATAGGAAAAAGAAATTCATGAAAATTCAGGCTTAGCGTGCATACCCATGATAGAAGATCTCCATCAACAACTGAGGCATCTTGCACCAGCAAAAAAAAATCCTGGAAGCCCATTTATAGGTTAGTCATCAAGTTGCAATGAAGAGAAAGTTCCATGGATGTGAGAAAGATGACTACATGATACTTTTCTGTTGATTTTCTATTTGATAGAAAAAACAAACTGAATGACAACAGAACTGACAAGAAAAAAATGAATCAAGCACGTCAGTGTAATATGAAAAAAGAACAGCAACAGCAGAATGAAGCACCCAAATCTCGTACCTTGAAAAGACGGTGCAAAAAACTATCAGCAGAAAACCATGAATCATCTAGCAAGGTTGATCCACTGTTTGTGTCTGTGCAATCTTTCTGAAGTCCTTGTTTCAATTGATAGTAGATGACTCTAATAAACTGTGAGATTCCCATGACTTGTCATTTATCAGTGCAAATGATATGGAAAAAAAAGAGAAGAAAAGCAAGTACTGTTCATTGCAAGTTTAATGGAAAACGAAATCGGTTTAAACGTGTTACTCTCTCAGGAAAGAAAACACAATCAACCTAGAATTCTTTTTCCTTTTCCCTTTTATGAGAAACACAAACATTCTATTACAATAAATACAAACTAGCCAAAAGTTTGACATATGTCTGCTATGTAAAAACTTATTCGACACCTTAGAAGAGACAAATAATTAGACAGGAGAATGGGTGCATAAAAGGTCATAAATATTACAAAAGACAAATCAAATATCAAACCAGGATGATTAAATGTTGAACATTGTCTCTGTTTTGTACTGGAATAATAAAGCACCACACAGAAAAGACATGAAGGTTGATAAATCAAGCAACAACTGACACATTTTGAGCATAACTATGCAAAAAAAATAAAATGTAAAGCTTTCTGAAAAGCCAGTACATATCCCAAAATAGGCTAAATGGAATCTAGACTTTCAATTACATAACTGTATCCCAGATCACCATGAATGCGACTTCATAGTTATAGTATATTGCCAGAAAGTTTAGTTATAAGTGGGACAATTCTGGACATTACCTTTGCAAATAGCCGACTTCTTGTATGGAAAGGCTGCATTAATGGCAGATTAGACTTTTGTCAGAAAGTATTTCAGACTTCCTGTATTTCAGTATCAACTACCTATGAAGCAAGCATCATTAGGAAAAAAAGCTTCATTCTAGTATTTAACTCAAAGATACGCAGAAACTTATTAAGACGGATTATGTCCATAGTCTGGTACAAATTTGACAATAGCGCATTCCTAAGAAATGTTAATGCTAGTACCAGTAGAACACTAGTCAACCCAAAGATAACTGGTGAGAGACTGGGTAGGATCTGTTTTGTAAAACTGAAACTCTATTGAATCTATGGTGCCAAAGCTTTAAGCTGGTGAATCTATGATGTCTGAAATCTTAGCATATAAATTAAATAGATTGATTGTTGACAATAATCTTTTGAAGATTTAGAATTATTAAGCTTACCATATTATCTGTTAAAAAAATCTTTTGAGAAAACATTATATTGCATAAACATGCAAATGAGCCGCCATCAAAGGTCAAAAGTAAAAAGTTCCTTGTATTCATATTAAAATGACTGTATATACTGATTTGGGAAAGGGTTGCTTATTTTTGTAAAGTAGATTACAACAATAAGTTGACGCTCATGAGGTACAAATTTAATGCAAACATATCAATCACATGTTTATACTTTAATAGTAAGGGACAGAATGTATAAGTGGGGAGTTTAATTTTAAATTCAGATGTACAATGTGGAAAAAGGAAATACAAGTACACAAACTCGGTAGAGTGAACAAATCCCAATAATAAGTGAAACAAGGCAATCAAACCAATACTTACAGCTTCAGTGCATCCAAATAAAAGACTGACCAAGGATTTCCACTGTAGAAATGCTTCAAGTGATTGCCCCATCTGCATAAGTTCAAACTATCGTAAAGATCTCAGATTATTATTTAACATAAAATGCTGTAGGAGTCTGCATTGTTTACACACCAAAAAAGCAATATAGGCAAATTGCAGCTCAGCGAGAAGCAAGTCCTCAGAACCTCCATAATCTTCTAATAGTACACTTTCTAATAATTGTGTCTAAACAGAAGAAAGTCAGACCACAAAAAAGAAGAAAAAAATAATAATATTAGTGAAAGTATATAGTCAAATCAGTTAATTTAAAACATTAGAAAAAAAACTGAACAACTTAAAAGAGGAGGGAGGGGGTTCTTACCTTGTCAAGATTCAAAGAAGTAAGTTGTTGGCCATGGATTCCCTTTCGTTTGATAACACGGGGAATTGATGTGTAGTAACATCCTCTTGTCTGAGACTTGTCACTGGGTGTTGAGCACCTACTAGCATTCAACTGCTCATCTAGAGCTTTCTCCATCATTGTGCTAGGAGTGTTTACACGCATTGTAGATTCAGATGCAACAGTAATTTCTCCTCCAATGGGTTCTGTACAAGTCAATTAAAATTCAAAGGTTGTTGGGATAAAAAGAATGAATCTTATACAAATTCTTTGGATAAAATTCATCTGAAGCAGTCCTTAACAACATACATAAAAGCAACCAAGAAATATCAAAGTTCCAAGTAGCCACTATAAATATAACTTCTCCTGTAAGAATTTTCCTTTTAAGAGTTCCATGCAGTCTTATTCTTAGAAGTATTTATTTGAAAAAAAATTCCATATCATATTGTGTTGGTAGGTACTAGGCCAGAAGTATCAACACGAATAATTATATCCATCCTTATGCAGAAATTAGAAGGAAAAGCTAAATAGGGATATTCTTAGAAGTATTATTACCTCACGATACCACTAGATTTTAATGTTGGTCATTAACTATTCCATCATGTCTACAAGCTCACAGCAGTAATATCATATGTACTCCTTACAAAGAGCAGATGGACCAACATCTAACTTTAAACCATAACAAGTATTTTGTGGAAAATTAAGGTTCCCACCAAGTCTGCCTTTGAGAACTTTCCTTAAGCAAATGAAAAATTATTTTAATGCCTATTACATAATTGTATAGCATGCAAGGACCAAAATATTGGACGATATATCCCTTTTTTAAGGTGTCGATACAAATAAAGGGGGTAAGCCTATTTCTTCTCCCTTATCAGCGATATATCCCTGATAACCCTGATATCCCGATATTTACTGATACTGGACAAATAACCCAGATATTTGTCTTCATTTTGAAAGTAATCAAAGGTCCCAGCCACTGAATCAATGCCAAAAACCAAGCTCTAATATTTAGTAGCTTCTTTTTTCTTCTCTTCTCAGTCATTTCGGCTATCTTTGGCTCTTCCTCTCCTCTCTTTGGTTGCTCAAGTTCTTGTTTGTTTAATTTTATTTTTCACCTAATCTTCTATGATTTCCCTTATCATTAAGTCTGATTGTTGTAATATATTGGGTTATGTATTAATGGGTTGGGTTGGGTTGGGTTACGTTTTAATGGGTCAGTCTGCATGTTTGTTGTGTTTGTTGTATTAAGTCTGCTTGTGTTTATTTTGTTTGGGTTACGTACCTATTGTGTCAATGGATTTTATTTTATCATTGTAATCAAAATTTTATTTTCAGGCTTTTCATCGTGCATTATATCACGTACGTTTCATCTTATGCATATCTTATACTTAGTATATTTTGAATTTTATTTATTGAATACATTCATTGATAATGTACTTAATACCTATGAAAGTTTCACTTCATTTTTTATGCCAATATCTATCTTTTTTGCCAATTTTCCTCAATACCTAAAACGACATCTATATATCCCCCTAAATATCCGTAAATTGAAGGGCCGATACTATCTGTATTGCCAATATTTTCATCCTTGATAGCATGTGCCCATTGTATGTTATAACAAGATAAAATACTCAGACAAACAATGTGGGTTCCTATGCATTAAAAAAAAAAGTAAAGTAAAATTAAAGATACAAACACTGTGGGTCTGAAGATCATCAATTTTAAATTTTAAATTTGAGAATTGAGCGAGAGAGAGAGAGAGAGAGAGAAGCAAATGGCAGCAGTTGAAGCATAAAATCTATTCATCCCAAAGTCAAGCAATGAAACCGAACAAACTCCTGATAGAAAAATCTAAGATAATTGTGAATATACGCCTTCGAAGTTGTGAATAATGCTTACCAATCCGTTGAATGATGCTCTTTGTAATGTAATTAGATAGTTGTTTCCAATCTCCGTACTGGCTTAGATTATAAGGACCAAGATGTCTATCAAACTCCAAACTTCGAACTGCTTGGCAATATCTCTCTTCCTGATGGCACAAAAATGATACATATGTGAAATCAAAATACTAAACTGAACAGACAAAATCACTACTGTGCTCTGTTTGACCATAGAATATGTTTGGAAAAAAAATTCTCAAATTCCCTCTTGCTCCCTTTATAATGTAAGAGCTCACTAATACAATAAAATTGGACCAAAAAAAAAATTAAAGTTGCAAGATAATAAATAAAGATAAACTGTGATTGTCCTGAAAAGATATTGACCATATTTTCTAACTACTTAGCAGCTAAGATTTATGAAGCTTATTTGAGATTGAGGTTACAAAATTCAATCTAAAGTTTCAAACATTGTGAATCACTTTAGTTCCATATTTTGAAAAATGTGACTCCCCGAGTAATACAATCAACATGAATACCAACCTCTTCTTCTGGCACTTTGACTAATCGTTCCTCTTGTTGATCCCACTTGCGAACAATTACCTGTTACATGAGAAAGGTCAGTCTGGCTCACATGCCTTGATATCATGCCACAAACAACTTACAGTAACATGTTAAACCCAATAAGCCAGTGGCCACTAAAGTAATAATAAAAGACTGGTTACTAACCTCAGATGGTCCAGCATCAACAAAAAACCCAATAATTGGTGAGAATTCCTTGCCATCTCTGTGTACCCAAAAAAAGCCAAAGATATTTTTAAAAAAATACAAACTAGAAGCATCCATAAAACAATTAAAATTCAATAGTAAATGAAGAGCAACTAGTCAGTCTATTCTCTGCCGACATTCAACAAACACATAATGAGCAAGAAGAGGTAACCTGGTGGATGAGCTATAGTACACAAAGTGAGGACCAGGAGGAATCATCTTTATGCCTTTAAAGTCAGGGCCAACTGAAAACATCTGAAGATACAGCGAACCAAGTGTTCAAGTGTTAATTTATAGACAGAAATCCAAATTTTCTTCGTTTCCATTTTCTTTTGAATTTTCTGGGCAACAAAACAGAGCATAAGCATGTGTGGCTGGGTTGGTAGTAGTTTACCTGAGTATCAATGCCGATGAGGGTATGCTGAGGAACGTCGAGGAAGAGAAGCGTCAGGCCATGCTTCACAAGCTCCATCGCCATTTCAGCATCCATTTTAACAAAATTTAGAAAGACAAGTTTATTCTGTTTGATTTGAAAATTATGGCTCTGGGTTTTGTTAGAAGAACTATGTATGAGTACTGTGAAGCGTCCAGAAGCCTCTTTCATTGACGGCCTGAAAAAAAGGCCCCAATACTCATTTGTATTTACACTTTAGCATCATGTCTAAAATATTTTTTTTTAAAGCCAACAAAACCTAGAATCATTTTGGTTTTTCGATTATCATCAAATAAATAGACAAGTACATTTTAACATAGAAATGATCATTGTGATAATCAAATAGCTAAATCATTTCTAAATTGAATTATATCTGCATAAATTATTCTTAAATTGTTATGATAATACAAAAGATAGGGTGGAGTAGAGTTTCTCACACACACACACTATCAAAGTGCCATGCGGATTCGATCACAATGTAAAATTGACGGTAATAATAATTTGGTTATGGTTATGGTTCATTAAAAAAGGGTTCAGGGAGTAATGTTAAAGTCAAGATATTATACATATTTTTTTGGGAGTTTCACTATTATGCCCAATATAGGGGCCCATATTATATATTAAAAAAATCATACATAAAATGAACTTTAAAAACACACCTAAATTCCATTTACAACATAACAAAGAGGCTTTAAACTTTACAAAACTATCATAGATATCTTAAAAAAAACTCAACTCCAAAACCTCATAAAAAAAACTCAAAACACTCAACATAATTTAATAATCAAAATTAAATTCAACAAGGCCAGTTGTCTTTTTGTGGACTTGTTTATAGAAATTAAATTGTATAGGGTTTATTTATATCACTAATGCTAAGAATATGTATATAATTATGGGTGATTTTATTGGCACCCCATTATTTGCTCTTTACACCCCATACTAATTTTAAATATAAATAACATATTTTACCCTTGTACACAATTACCGTTAAGAACAAAAAAATTTAAAATTAAAATTAAAATTGCTCACTACACCCCACATATGTTCCTGCAACCCTAGTTTGACTTTTTTCTCAAACTATCATGTTCCTAAACCCTAAACCCTAAACCCTAGATTTATAAGTTTATACTAGTAAAAAAATATCTTGTATTTATTCATGAAGGGTGAGATTGAAGTTAGAGATGCTTCGAATGAGGTACGAGTTTATTTTCTGGAGTTTTGCAAGTTTAGTATTTCATAACGGTCGCTGGTTGCGTTCAGCACATCAGTACCGAACGCGACAGGTAAATTCGGTAGGATGCCACCGAAACGTTGCACCGTTTTCGGTTGGGTTTGACCGGTCAGCAACTTAATATTCGATGGAGATCCACCGTAAGATGGAACGTAGTTCAGTGGTTTACTATTGAAATTTTACCTGCGTTTCAGTGGCATCCAATCGAAATTTATTTATTTTTTCAGTAACTTATTGCCGACCACAAATTTAATCCAAGCTATTTTGATCTTACTCCCATTGAAGGAACAAAATCAAGGTGATGCCCCTACTAAAGGCAACAATGTGGTAACAGAATGTGTAATGGACTATAGTGATCAATTCACAACTTATTCGGTAATTATTTGTCTGAAATCCTTTTTAGTATAATTAACGTGGCATTAATGTTTCAAATTTTATATTTAAATAATATGAGTTTTATGTGTAGATATTCAATGGTAGAGATGCATTACTTCGATGGGCTCGTGAACAAGGAAAATTGAATAATATTGTCATTGTAATTAAAAGGTCTGATTATGGAGGTGAGGGCAAGAGGAGACCTCGTGTAATACTTGCTTGTGAGAGGAACGGTAATTATAAGTCTTGCAAGTCTAGTGAAACAACTGATACAAGGTTAGATGCAAATAGTGATATGAAAAAATGTGATAGGGACACTAGTACCAAGAAATGTGGATGCCCATTCTTGTTAAAAGGTGTCAATATTGGTGATGGGGATGATTGGAAGTTGGAGGTGGTTTGTGGAGTACACAACCATCTTATTTCAAAGTATCTTCAAGGTCATTCATTTGTGGGGCGACTTATTGAAGAGGAGAATGCCTTGTTGGTGAACATGTCAAAGAGTTTGGTGAAACCCAGAGATATTTTGGTCACCATTAAATATAGAGATGCAATGAATGGTTCAACTATGAAGACAATATACAATGCTAGGATCCGAAATAAAACCAAAGAATTTGCTGGGAGAACCCAAATGCAACATTTTCTTACTAAGTTATCCGAACACAGTTATATTGAGTGGCATAGGACATCTGGTGATATTGTAACTGACCTGTTTTGGACACACCCTATTAATATTGATATTTTGCGCGCATTTCCACATGTACTTATCATGGATTGCATCTATAAGACTAATAGGTATCGTTTCCCACTATTGCAAATTGTGGGGGTGACATCTACTAATATGACATTCTCTGTTGCGTATGTGTATATGAATGCCGAGAAGGAAGGCAATTACACATGGGCATTGACTGCATTGAGGAGTTTGTTGGATGATAATTGTCTTCCTGGTGTTATTGTCACCGATCGAGAGTTAGCACTCATGAATTCTAATCCGAGTTCTGCAAGACCTATTTTCCCATGAAAGATGCTCAACAATTCAATACTTTCTCTTGATAGTTGATCAAAAACCTGTCTAAGAAAAACTTCTTACTCTTCATCAGGATGAAGAATCTAGCCTCACTTGTCAGGTGATACCACCAGAATTGACAAGGGCAAGTTTCCCTTTCATCAAGCCCTTATTTTGAAAAATTAAAATAAAAGAAGGAATTATCTAATATAGAATCTCATAGTATAATGAGAATGCCGTTATAAAAAAAAATTCTATTATAATGTTCGAAGCAGAGCAAGATCTAACTCTTTGTCTGAATCTGTGTCTGAAACATTAGAGAATCACGCTCGTAACCATGACAAACTCACATACTCATCACTGTATTGGTGTAATTGTTCAGTAGCCTCTTCATTAGTCACTCCTAAGTACTTAACTAACAACTCAAAATTTGTGTCATCGTCATCTCCAAGAGTACCTCTGCGATTGTTGAGGCCGTGGGACGCTATCTATTAGGTCGGGATCTTGAAGCCTTAGTAGTACCTCTGCGAGTCCTCTTCATATCTAAAAACAAACAATATTAAGTACACACTCAGTAACGTATTCGGTAGATGATCATTGAAAAAAGGAAATAAATTCGGTGGATTATCACTAAAAAAAAAACATATTCGATAGAGTACCACTGAAAAACCGAAATAAATTCGGTGGGAGTCTCCTGAAAAATAGAAACATATTTAGTGGACAACCACCGAAACAAGGTAACAATTTCGATGGCAACCCACCGAAAGTAAAATAAATTTTTGTACAACTCAAGTTCAAATTCGGTGGACTACCACTGAACCAATGTAACCATTTCGGTGGTAATTCACCGAAACTAGACTCTAGTTTCGTAAAACCAGGTTCGAACCATACACAATGTTGAAATCAAAATCAAAATCAAAATCAGACGACCAAACTGCCACAAATAACTAAGATTTCTTGGGCTTCGATAGTCTTACCAGAACCACGTGGTAAGAAGTCCTTCCCAACAATGCTCTCCAAGGCAGAAGACTTCCCTCAACTCTGCACGACATAACAAAAATATAAGCAAGCATTATATATTAGCATCACAACAAATTCAGTACTTCAACCAATTCTTCTAATATTCGCTATCATATTCCAGAAGTTTTGTTTCTTTTTTATTCCCAATTAGCAAGCATATTCCACTTAGCGTAGACAATTCCTAGCAGTTCAACCGAAATGCATAAAAGCAATTCATTTGTTTTTAAGCACCACGAGTATAAACTAGTTTGAAGCATTAAGCTTTGGTCAAACTCGGGGGCTAAGTTACAGAGCAGATAAAAAGAAACACAAATCAAAGTTCATATACTCGGATCGATGAGAGAGATAAGAGAAGGTGAGGGATCGGAAGTGGACTTGGCCACCGACGATCGACGGCGATGGGGGTTTGCTGGGTTGTGCGATGACAAGTTTGCTGGGTTGTGCGATGGGTCTTTGCAAAGGGATGGGTTCTGCGACGGGGTGTATCTGCAAGAGGAGGGAATTTTCGATGGGGTGGGGCTTGATATCAAATGGGGTGGGGTTTGATTTCAGATGGGGTGTGTTGAAAGGGAAGGGGGTTTTCGGTGGGTGGTGTCTGATATGGAATGAGGTTTACACAGTGAGTTAGAGAATGGGGTTCATTAGGGCAATTTAGGAAAAAAAAAGGGGTATAATGAGTAATTTGAAATTTTATTAAAATTTAGTGGGGTGTAAAAAATTATGGGGTGTAAAGAGCAATTAATGGGGTTCATATGGAATTACCCTATAATTAAATACCTCTATTTTTTTTAAATAAGGATATTATAGGTGCACCTTTTTCATCGTATTAATACCCAAAAAAAAAAGAAAAAAAAGTTTTTAAATACTTTTCAAGGCTAAATTGTAGCAATGGTTACTCAACTATAAACTTTGGAAAAACACAAAGGAGAGATAAATTTTGTAAAAGAAGCCAAAATGGACAAAATTGCCCTTATTTATTTTTGGATTTCTTAAGGAATCTTTTACATTTGCATGTTTTTGATTTGAAAGTTGACAGGTTTTTCTGTCTTTTTTGAAAAAGCTTTGGCTTTTTCTAAAAGTGAAAATTTTTTTTTGGCTAAAACCTAAATTTACTTTGTATTTTTGCCTTTATATTACAATAATAGATTATGTTGTCCTCAAATTAGAACATGTATTGTACTAATGCTACTGAAATTTTTTTTCTTCAATTTAGGAGAGAATTAGAAAATTTCTTGCATAACTTTTAAACAAAAATATAAAAAAAAATAAAAGAAAAATAAAACAGATTGGGTTGGTGTTGAAGGGAGACAGCAACCCAATCAAAGTCACAGTGAGATAGAGAAGGGTGTCAAAAATCCACTTAAATATGTAAATCTACATGTTTGTGCGTCAAAAGTCACTTAAACGTGGAGTTTACTTTTCACCTCAACTGACTGGCAATTTTTTTCCCGCCCTAAAAAAAATAATAACAATCCTTAATACGGATACCCCAAGAGCAGTAAATTTGTCCAAATTGTTGCCCCACCAAAAGTATCAAAACCAGAAGCCCTAACGAGCATGGAACAAAAAAGATGAGCATCTGTCAGTTGGCTTCTGCCTATGTCCATGTACATATTTCGAAAGAAAAGAAAATGTATCCAACTTTCATGGTGATAGCATTGGTTAACAGTTTTCAAACGATCATGGTAAATTACATATACCATGTCCCGTACATATCAACCATTTTAAGTGTATCTTTCAGCTCTGAATTTAATTTCGGGGTTACGAATGTCGTTCTGACTTTGGATTAATCGAATCTCTAAACTGGTTGACTTGGGATCATGGCCGGCACTTTTGTAGTCGTTAATTGTCCTCTGTAGAAGGGCCTGTAAGTATTGATTGTAAACACAGAATCAGCCAACCATGGCTCACATAAGGGGATCGTTGATAAGGTTAAACCAGAGACAATAAATTCGTGTAAAAGTTTCTTTTGCCACCAGTTGGAATAAGCAAGGGAAATACATCCAGATTGTATAAACTATTAACCAGCAGGGCCTGCAACTATCATTTATATTCTAGTTGTATTCACCCACAGGCCTCCAAAACTTGATCCTTACTAGGGTAAATCAAATTAAATAATGACCAAGTTCAGGTAACTTCACAAAAGAAAAATTGCTATTCATGCTGATAGAGTCCTATAAGTTGGCATGTTATTAGTGGCACACGCGTCATGTTGTTAGATGTATTGGTTATTAGGGGAGAATTATTCAGTGAATTGGTTTAACTAAGTCTTAGTTTGCAAGTCAGTATAAATACTGATTAGTTGTGCAAAGCAAGACGGCTTGTATTTTGGATTTTGTTACAATAATATCAAGATTGGTTTCCTGTATAACCATAGAGTTAAGGTTGAGATAGCTGGGTCCTATCACATGCGGAACATTTTTTTTTCTTTCTTTCTGAGAATTGTTAATTTCCATGAGGCATCTATTTATCTAGCTTATCAGGCATATCACTTACAACTACCGTGTATATGTCGCGTGTAACACAATACCTAGTAGCAGCCAGCAGGACATGTGATGACACATCATAGAATAAATAATTTCCACTAAAATGTTTTTATAAATATATCGTGACTCTTCTTTAACAAACACTATACAAAAATAGTATTCAGAAATAGACCATAATGCTGTTATGCTCTTTATATGTTGATATGTCGTACCTTTATATGTTTTGTACTCCTACTTAGTCCAAGGTGGAATTCAAAAGAACTTTACATCATTCAGAAATACTTATATATGAAAGAACACTAGCGATTAAAGAAACAAAAAAAGTGGTGGGGGAGGGACAGAATACCTGCAAGGATGATACAGCAAGCTCGGCTGCCTTGTCCAGGTTGTCAGGATATTTCTGGGTAGAAAGAACAACCATTTATAGATATAGAACAATATTGGAAAGAAGGGCTCAGGAGTTGAATCAAAGCCAAAACATAGTTTAAAGGAATTACATTGCTCCACCCAAGTAGAAGTGCAGTTGTAAGATCTCCTGTTCCCTACAAGTTCATGCACATATTTGTCAATCATACAACTGGTTTTACCATATAAACTAGATAACAACAGGATCAATTGACGCCAGCATATATACATATATACGATTCTTTTTGGTAATCAAATCATTCAACTTGATGCTTTAACTATGCTCACCATGCAGCTCAACTTTCAAGTTGATCCAGTATCTCTAACTATTCCATCCATATTGTTTAGAATTAGTATTTTCTTTATACATATTTACATTATGAATAGAAGAACCTTGACGGAGTACTTGCTTACCAGAGATTTGATAAACAATAAAAATTGTGTGGATCACAACATTAAATCCAATTTTTGAATTAGTAAAGAAGGAATCTTATAAAAAGTAAAACTTGCAAGTTTAATGGTCCCCAACTACATATCCAAAGCTATTAAATTAGGATAATTAAGTCGTCAATCCTACAAGGTAAGGCAAGATAGCAAATCAAATCCATCATGAAGTCGGTATAAACTATGAAGAAGGAATCCCTTGTGTCTTTTTGGTTTTGGCCACATAAATTAATTGTCCCTCCCTGTCTGTTTCTCTCCAAGTAAAACCCCAAAAATCTTGAGTTAATTTAAACATAAATACAGTATGGGAATTGGCACTACATCTCCTGATTTTTATCCAGTAAAATAAGAATGGGAAAAGTCAAAGAAAAACATGAGTTTCTCCGAAGAGTTCAAAAAAGATGGTTAACAATATGCTCTAAACATGAAATCAGCAAACTTTAGAAATCCTTTTTTTCTTCAAATGAGATGCCATCCAGGTGTCCATTAATGAAGTAGTTGACTGGGTATATTTATTTGGAAAGGTAACATTTAACTGACTGCATACAATCCGATTAAGGGATTAGAAAGTCACACTGTAAAAACCATGGATCAGAAAACAAGGCTAATAGGGGAGGTTATGTTCTAATATGCTGTTGTATAAGTATAAAGTAACATCTTCATAAATGGTTCAAACTCGCAAAAAGATAAAATTAAGGGACATAAAAATAACAAACAATATATATATATATATATATTCTAACATCAGTTCATTGCAGTATTCAACAGTACAGTGTAAAGGATATTCCTCGTTGTGTGCTAGTAGAATTATGAATGCAGATTTGCTGATAAAAATTAAGGGCAAATTTTCATACCGTGAAATATGCAGGAATTTTAGGAATCACAATCTTGAATTGCTCAGGAGACAGACCCTATCACATAATTAAAGTAAAAATTGTGTAAAGCACATTGTCAAAAGAAATCTTGCCATAAACTATAATAAAGTCTAAATTTATTTCATTAGGGAAAAATCATAAAAGGTTTTTGCTTTTGGCAGGAATCATTAAAGGTCAGCACAAAAATTTGTACAAAAAACAGACCATTTAGAAGCTTTTGGCATACAAGAAAAGAATCAAACTTCCTTTTTTTTTCTGTGGAAGAATACATAATAAAGGGCACAACAATGTCATATCTAACTAAGCATTCAAATAAGAAGCCTAATCTGACAAGTAAAATGTATTCCAGCAATAAAAGTTCCCAAAACAGTGACCGCATTTTGAAAATTCTAAAAGAACTAATTTTTTTTTTTTTTATTTTTTAACTGGAAATGGCCAACGTTTAAGCCCAACTAAAAAAATCCCAAACCTTAAGTGTAATTTCATTCGTAGACAAGAACTCACCTTTTCCTTTTGATGGCTACCAATTAGAAAAAGATTACCATTGATATTTATGCTTGTAAGCACAACCTACAATATATCAAACTAACATTATAATATGAGAGAGAGAGAGAGAGAGAGAGAGAGAGAGAGAGAGAGAGAGAGGAAACATAAATAGAACCGCACAAACAAGTTTCCACGTGTACAAGAAGCAAAACAGATGTAACATTAAATAGAAACGCACAAACAAGTTTCCACATGTACACCAAGCAAGTACCCTCTAATGAATACCAATTAGGAAAGATTACCATCTATATTTACGCTTGTAATCACAACCTGAGATAGATCAAATTTACGCATTAAAATATGAAACTGAGAGAGAGGCAGGGACAGAGACAGATCTAACATCAACTAGAAGTGCACAATCAAGTAATTCTATATCCCCCCAAATTCAGCTTCAATTTGATTGAAAAAATAATATGATGCACAACAAGTGAATATCAGGATCAGTACAGTGCATATTCAGTAAGTAACTATAAAAGATTTACCGTATAAAATGCAGAGGGTAAAGGATAAAGGATAATTTAAAACAACAAAGACTCAACAAAGAAAAGGAGAGAATAGAGAAGCAAAGCTGATATTCACTAGGAAAGTTTGTATGGGCCCCTATATTAACTAAGGTACATGAATTAGTTTGGAAATACCAAAACTCTTATATCATTAACAGATTTAATTATTTGCTTTGAAATACCAAATGTGCCCACTCATGCTTTGTGATTCTGAATAAATGCTCTACACCAGTATTAACCAGAAATAGAAAGCCTCTTTAAGTGGCAGCACTGGATTTTCTTTATCTCTATCTCTAAACAAATAAAAAGAATTCACCTAACCAACTTGCAACTCAATAAGATACCAAATAACAGTGGCTCACTATTGATACAAAAATTTATCTAGAACCCAAAATCCAAAAATCCCAAAATGAAAACATAACCAATGAATCAATGATAATTTTTCAGGATACAAGGATTAGGGAGAGAAACAAAACAAGACCATAACAAAATCTGTCATATTAACATGAATGCAAGCATTTCAGGACCTGTACAGTGAAATATAAAAAAATTAAAAACATTACTAAATAATAGTACCATTGGAGGTCCAGCAGCATGAAGAATGTTACAAGCTTCACGACCATCCTTTTCAGACTCAATCCTGTTACAGCATAAGATTTCACCTGTTATTGATAAAAAGGACTCAGAAGTAAGGTTTTTAACTTTTACTTGTCTAAAGTTTCATTTATTGGCCCTAAATGGGAAAAAAACAAATGCACCACAAGAAAAACCAGATGCTGTTTAACTACAAGGGGCAATGTTGATTATCATTATACTGTGGCATAAGAAATTACCTCAAGTTAGCCAAGAGTTCTGCTTCAAACTGGTTGGGAGTCAACATTGAAGCTACTGGGACAACCTTATATAAAATGCATTACCAGAAAATAGCTATTAAATCAATTTCATTATCAAGCTACTATATCAACGTCAATACTTTTTGTATCAAGAAAATTACAGGAAAGGAAAAAATTCAAGATTAAATTCTTAGGAAAGTCGATTTGTATCCAACACAAACATACAGATGTTGGTTTGACATAAATTCAAGTTTGAGCAGTTGTCAAACTACTAACATGCTAATAATTAAAAATCTTCTCCACCCTTGTATATGCAAAGAATATGATAGATATGCTTCTATGATGCACCCATAGACAAGTCATATTGCTTACCTTCTCTCGATATACTGATACCAATTCTGGAGGGACATAGAGCTTTCCTTCATCACCCATCACTGGATCACAGACTGGGCAAGGAAAGGATAGCAAGAATTATATCATAACAAAGATGAAAAATGCATATGACCCAAAAATACATTAGTTTATTCTTTTCTATAGAGAAGAAGATGAACAATCACATTCCATGGAGCCACAAATCTGCAGAATTCAACTGTTGCCCTCATACTCAAATTGATCATGACAGATTGCAAGGCATCCACTCATGAGTGAAAGAACAAAAAGGGCTTACTCTATGCCATATGTTCCACAACTCTGCTTTCCAAATATATTCCTATTATGTCCCTAAACTCTTGACATGATGGTTACTACAGTTTTTAAGCCAATAACTTTAATATACAAGATAAGTTTGTAAGATCTCAAAATTCACTAGTAAATTGACTTAAATAATCTTATCAAAGTCAGCAAGAAGAATTTATCTTTATGGCCCCCATTAAAAAAAATTACATTTTCGTTCTAGCAACATATACCAGTTACAACAGAATCTTGAATTTTTACAATTTTAGCAATGTTCTGATTAAAATATATGGCCATGCACCAGTTATTTTGCATTCTTGCATCTTATAACACGTACGACCAAGCAAAGCAAATAATAATCCATATGTATCAAGTTAACCAAACAGATACAACAACGAAAGTGTGAAGGAGAAGCACTAGTAAGTTAGATTAACATTTTCAGGTGCCCCAACAAAATAAAAATACCGCAGCTATACAAAGGATTAGTATGCATATTTGATGATGGCAAGGACTTCTGAAATATTCATGATCCACTCACCATATTTAAGTTTTGGGTTTACAGAGCGAAGTTTATTGACAACCTCCAATACAGTGCTCAAAAACGAAACTGAACCAATATAACCTGCACAAAAATCAACTAGATCAAAGCCATATACACTTCAAAGGAAAGTAAAGGTAGTACTATAAGAAGATATCAAAGATTTTACGATGCTTTCCCCAATTTAAAGTTTTTATTTTATTTTATAGAAGTGTTTTAAATAAAATGTAACCTCTTTCCATCGTCAACTCAGAGGTCAGAACAATTGCATAAGCCCTCCCAAACAAGGAAATCACACATGATTTCTTTCAGACTTTTGGAAAGCGTGTTTCATGTAATTTTAATCTGTGTTATATAGGTCCAGATCGTGCTATATTCATGCATAGATCTATTGATTTGCTTAACACCAACATTGCAACCACCAGTCCTATTCCTAAGCATTCGGCTTTACCCTTCTTTATTTTTTCTCTCTTCTTTGTTTCTTCCAATGGCAAAAAGTCAGAACAACATTCACTTAATAGTTACCATGTTATACAGGACCAGATCTTCAAAACCAATCCATGAATAATTTAATATACCTGTTAATAAATGAGTGTAGTATAATAAATCATTTTCTTGAAGGCCTTCTATCAATTCCCATAGCTGTTGTCCATTCAAAACTTGACCCTTAAAAGTTGGGTATCCTGCAAATGTTTTCAGGAATATTGAATCAGGATGTTACCTCCATTAAAACTAAGACATCATGCTTGACTTTATACAGGTTCACAGATGGCATCACGCCACATATCAGGCCTCAAAATTCTGAGACTGTTTGAATGAAGTAGAAGCAGCTTGCCTGTGTGGTTTGAGAACTGGACTGAATTAATTGGATCCACATCATAGCCTAATAGTTGCAAGGGAAATACAGCTGACTTATTCCCCACATATCCCTAACCAAAAGTAAAAGACCAGGAATGATGTAAGCTTAAAACATAATCTACAAAGTACAGGTAGATATCCCTGACCCACTCTCAAATCATATTCATATTTACTTATGAAAACAATAAGGCCCAACTTAAATTAGGATCAGGAAAGATGCACAGGGCAGGCAATTATGGCTCATACACTTCAAGGAAGATGAGAAAATAAGGGAAGAGACACAATACAGACAAATTTGGAATTTGGAATCACGTAATCATTATATTTCAGGACATGTCAAGGGCAGAACTTGGTGGCACGAAACAGACAAATTGCCTGTATCATTAGCAAAAGAAGGGAAATGAGGTGATGTCATGTCCCTTCCAAGAAAATCACAACAAAGAGAAAATATATGGATGTTAGGTCTAATAATGGCACATATCCGTTCAAAAATATAGGTACTAGGGCAATAATTTATACGTCACATACTATAGCTTTCATATGGACTAAAGGCCAATTCAAAAAACACAGCAAATCTGTTGAGAGTATAGACGTTTCCTTAAATGAGTAGATAAGTAATTACATTTAGAATGTGGTTAAATGAATTGAGAGTCGAAGAGATAAAGATGGATTAATTGTAATTTAGGTTCACATATTAGCATTAAATTTGGGGGATGAACATTAGAAGGAGGGCCTGTGTTTCTTCAGTTGTATCAAGTAGTATGAAAGTTTGATATGAGAATAAGAGTTTATGGCAGTTTTGGTTCTTCTCTTGAAACGTTGTTGTTGGACTTTTACTGCCTCAAAATCTAGTAAGCTATTTAGAACATGGGACAGACCGTATAACGTATTTTTGCTTACTTATGAGAAATCCAACAACTCCAATTTGGGGTAGACATATTATCCATAGTTCATCACAATCTAATATGCCATACAAATCCTAAATAAGTTTCGCGCGCACACAAAATGTGTATTTGTTTTCACTAACTTTACCTTGAAGTACCAGTCAAATAAGCACACAATTTATCATTCCATTATCACACAAATACCATTAATGCCATAAAAAATCACATGCGAGATATCAAATTCAATATTGGAATTCATTCATACAGAAAGGATACATTCAATATTTTAACTTTTAGAGGAAATTTAAGATTCAAGTTTGGCATTTTTTTTTCCTTCAGTTTTCTCAGTGACCAAACACAAACAAAACCGCCAATACCTGGACTGTATGAGATTGAATACTCAGAACTCGACCAGTCTCGGAGGGCAGAACCAAGGAAAGGATCGGAGGAGCCATTTCCGAATTTCTCAAGCTTCGCGAGCTTGCCGACCTTCTTCCTTACCATCCAATAAAAAGAAAACACAAAAAAAAAGGTCAAAATCAAAGACAAACAGAAATTAGAATGCAAATTCTCAGAAAATTGAAGATTTTCCGAGATAATACTTTACCGGAAAATGTGATTTTCTCGGGAAATTGTCAATCGGAAATGGCTTGCGAGCTCAGACTGAAACAACATAAAGAGCAGCGAAGAAGATTGTGAAATTTAGTGACGGTATTTATAAGGCGGGCGGAGTGACGTGGACTTTTGTTGAAAGTACGGAACTGCCTCTGGTCAGATTTGGGTTTGGTGGGATAAGAGGTGCATGTTTTGTGGGTGGAGATGCAGAGTCTAATTTAGTAAATTCGATGCATGTGGAAGACGACTCTGTGGTGTAGCAGTTGCGTTGCGTTGACAGGTCGAAAAATGCTTGTTGAGAAAGCGGACAAGATTGGAGAAAATTTCGGGATACGTTTCAGTGTGGTCAGCGGGAAAGAGTTTTAAAATACAGAGGGAATGCTAGCAAGAAGAAAAGAACAGGGGGAGGAAAATTCAAGGGATTTCTGAAAGATGTATTTCCATTAACATCTCGTGAGGTTTTTGGTATTTCGTAAAATATATTAACATTCTGAAAACTATACTAAGTTTTTTGAAGTTTTAAATTGTTTTCATAAAACTTATATATCTTGTTTAGTTTTTGTTTAAATTGCTAATGTCATAAAAAAAAATTCTTCAAATAACAAGTTGACTTCAAAGATGAGATACATACACTCCGGAGATCTAATCATTGAGATTAAAAAAATATAAGTGATCAATAAGCACGATTTATTTGTAATTAGCGACGAACCATAGTCCATGAGATTTTTAATTTTTTTAAGCCCAAAATACATATAGCACACAACATCACCAAGTCAAAATAAATCAAAACTCAATTATACCCTTCTACCGAACAACCCACTCTAGTTAAAATATATTTTCAAAAGCAAAACTCAATTATACCCTTTTCTAACCTATTCTCTCTCTTCTACCGACCAACCCATTCAAGTCAAAATATTTTTGTTTCTTCTCCTTTTGGCATTAGGGATGCCAAGGCTCAAACCCCAATTCAATTCCTAGGTTGAACATGCGTTGGGCTTATCCCAAAAAAAAAGAAAAAAAAACTTCATAACACTCATAAATAATGAAGTTTTTGTTTCACTCATGGCTAGGTGTATTTTTTTTGTTATAAATGATTCACTTATACTGTTGAGTTTTCTATTTTTTTAATAGGTTTGTACATTAGGTAAATTTAGCCCACTTTATTTTGAAATCCCGAATAATCTATATTTGTAATATTTGTCAACATAATGCTGAATTAATAAAGTGTTTACGAATTGTCCTTTTGCTATTTCTATATGTAATTGTGCTGTTAATCATTGTCCTTTTTCGGTGGGATTTAATGATTTTTTATTAATTGGCTTGCAACTTGCTCTTCCTCTACTTTGGGAATTTCAAATGTTGATGTTTTGACCAAAGTTTTAGTCCTTTGTTGGCAAATTTGGAAGGCTTGTAGCAACTTCATATTTTGCCAATTACATCTTCATTCTGCAAAACTCTCTTTCAGTTGCTTCCGGTACTTATGATCATTTATGTACTGCTAGTCATTCAATGAAGGCAAGGAGAGCTTGAAGTACTGATATCAAAAAGTGTCTGCCTCCTAAGCCTTCGTATGTCAAGCTGAATTTTGATGGGTTTGTCAGAGATATGTCTTCAGCTGCTTCTAGGTTTGTAATTCGTGATGATGAAAATGATGGTGTTCTTCTGGCTGGTGCTAGCAAAGTGGGCGACACAAATGTTTAAATTAATGCAAAAAACTTGCTTTGAGAGATGGCCTAAAGAAAAATTTAAGAGAGTTGTGCAAGTCAATACAAGAATCCATAACATCATAAGTAACCATATACTGAATAACCAGCAGCAATAGTATGATCTTCCTCAATATTAAATATTTCCAGAGCTATGATGGGTATAACATAGACATTGCGGTTGCTAGTGAGGGAACAAAACTATATAGGGTTAATCATTTTATTAGTCCATGAACTTTGACCCGATTTGCATTTGAGTACCTCAATTTTCAAAATGGTTCCCGTGGTCCTTTAACTTTAGTTTTGTTTGGACAAATGGTCTTGCCGTTAATTTTGTTAATTTTTTCTGTTAAATGTAGGGGTAAAATGATATTTTTATATTAAAACCAAAAAAATGAATAAAAAATCATATCTTTAAAATAACAATAAAATCAAATCAAATAAAAAACCAACAAAAAATAAATAAATAAAGTTTGGGGGAGTAAAAATCGGGATAGAGGGGGGGGGGAGAGAGAGAGAGAGAGAGTTTGATTTTAATTTTATTAATTTTTTATTCATATTTTAATCAATTTTGATACAAAAATCCTATTTTGCCCCTGCACTTAACAGAAAAGTTAATAAAATTGACGGCATGACCATTTGTTCTAATGAAACTAAAGTTAAAGGACCACATGAATCATTTTGGAAATTGAGCTACTCAAATGCAAATCGGGTATAAATTCAGAGACTAATAAAACGATTAACCCAAACTATATATATTGTGTTAAGTGGGTTTCCCAACCATCAAGGAAAATCCCTAACTATCCTAACACAAGTGGTAAACAATTCGAGCCCAACAACTTAAGGAGCCCACCACATATATAATAGAAGATGGGGTCCACTTATATTATATAGTGGAAGATTCTCCAATAAGTATTTAAGTTAAGGGTTAACTGTTGATTTGCCCCATGAACTTATACTTAACGATTTACCCCATATTCATTTTTTTTTAATATAGAAAATTAAGGATATGAACTTTTATTTTCGCTAATTTCTCCCCTACCTTTTAAATCGTCAACATTTCATCCAATTTGCCATTAAATATGAGGGCAAATTGGTCAATTTGTGCATTAAAAATAACCAGATACTGAAAATAAAATAACATTAAATACAAACTACAAAAAATAAAAGAATTTTAATAAAAATCAACCCGCCACTCCCACGGCCTTCTCTCTCTCTTTCTTCCTTTCCTCCTCCCCCAAATTCCATCCAATTCCACTAGCCGCTACCCTAATTCCAAATCACAAAGCCATCAACACCCACCTTTAATTTCAAAAACTCAACATGATTGTTTTTATAAAAAAAAACCAATTGAAGCAATACACATTTGTTATTTTAAATACCCATTTGACTTGGCCATTGATAGGCTAAGAGACATAGAGAAAACATTCTGATCATGTTTATGGTTTCTATATGAGCTTTCCTTTACTCCCATTGACCATTTAGAGAAAGAGAAAGAGAAAGAGAGAGGGGGTTGGAGTGGTTGAGCTGGGGGATGGGGAGGTGGGTATGAGTGGGAGAGGAAAGAGTTGCATCCTTTGGAGGAGGAGGATGAGGAGGCGACAATATTCAGTGAAAATACATTTGGGTTGAGAGAGAGAGAGGGGGTTGGAGGGGCTGAGTTGGAGTCGCTGGGGGTGGGGCTGGTTAGCCTGGGGAGAAGAGTCAAGGGGAGGAAGAGAAGGAGAAAAAAAACTAGAGGGGAGGGAGAGGGGGGCGCTAGGTCTGTGGGTGGGGTAAGGTTTTTTTCTTGGTTTTGTTTTTTCTATTCCAAAAAAAACATATTTTTAATTATTTAACAGAAAATTAGATGAAATGTTGAGAATTAGACGGCAGGGGGGAAATTGATGAAAAAAAAAGTTTGTATCCTTAATTTTCTCAAAAAAAGGATAGGGGGTAAATCGAAAGTTATGTACAAGTTTATGGGGCAAATCAATAGTTAACCCTTTAAATTAATGATTGGTTACATACTTCTAACTTCAGCCAAATATCATCGTTCCTGTTAATATATCATGGGTTTACCTATTTATAGCACATAGCATACCAAATGCTAATGATTGAGCTCGAAAGTTCTTACAACTTGTCATCTCGATCTTTCATAATTCGAAATATGTCTCTACTAATGCTAACTCCTTCAAGAATTCTGCTGAAAAAAGTCATGTACCATGCACATGCGTCATTTTCTATGGTTGTTTCAGTTGGAACTTCAATTGAGGAATGTCTCAAATAACTTGTTTAAGGGACACTCTTGTAGGGCTCACTCTGTCTTATGTTTCAACAATTCAAAATGTCTATTCTTAATCTTTAATTCTAATAAATGTTTCCCTAATAAAAATTTGGTATTACCAACCATCACTTAATTTTTATTTCTAATTATTTTCAATAATTTACTGACATGACACCCAAATAATGAAATTTTAAATGATGAAGTTGTAAATTTTATGTTTTAACAATTTCTATATATGAAATTAGAATTAATTCATTAAAACACCCTGCGAAGGTGCAATTGGATAACCAATGGAAAAATTAGTAAAAATGTTTAATAGTAAATATTAGATTGTTAAACTTGAACAAGAAGGTTTTTTTTCCCATTACAATTGGGTAGATTGAGTTGTGATTTTAGTGATTTTAAATGTAGCGAACTAGCTATTGGTTTGGTGGTACTTCTCTTTTCAATGTTAAAAGAGGTCCCAAGTTTGAATTCTCCCTCCTTCATTGACAAAGGTAAATTATTTAATTATAAGACAAAAACCTCGAATCAGTCAAAACGTTTCAGACTAATTTAAAATTAAAAAAAAATCATTTGATCCATGAGGTGATTTTTCCTTTTGTGTCCAAATGATCCATGAGGAGATTAAAGGCAACAAAAGTGGCTAAAGTAACAGGATTGATATCAAATTATGTATTGAGAAACCAGAGCATGCATATATGTCCACCTGATGTCGAGATAGGTACTCATGGTTGATAATTACCTACACATTCCACTATGCCACAGCTTCTATAGCTGTAGGTTCAGTACGTACGCATAATGCATTATGCATGGATCGTTAACAAAATACAGAAACAAGAAAATGATAACAAAAAGAAGCTCATTTAAAGCATATATACCTACATTTCCAAATTCAATTCCAAAATTTAACTTCGTTAGAGGAAAACATTGCTTATGATTACAAAGGAAGCTGTGGACGCCACAAAGGAAGGTGTTAGGTTCTAGATTTGCTAGTATTGGCTTTCCTTGCCAAATTTGTAATCTTGCTTGTAATTTTCTAAATCCGATTCAAGCTCAAATTAATGTTTAGTCTAGGTTTAGATATGTTTAGACATAGTCATCTCAAGGTTGATACAAGCTGAAACTCATGATCTCCAAAGGTAAAGCATGCATTGGCATGACATTCTTGTTTAATTCTGGCAGTTTTTATTCCTAGATAACTATAGTTCATGCATTGCACTAGATTCTATATAAAACGTGCAGTTTTTATACTTAGATTTCTAGTGCACTCTCACTAGTCATTTGCACTAATTTTCTGTGCACGGATTTTGACGATTCAGTTTAAGTGATCACGTGACACTGTCTGGTCAATTTTAATTTTCACATGTTTTGGGCTTCTTTTCAGCTGTGGGTCTTCACCTAACACTTAGAAAATGAGTTTTCATTGTTTTCAAATCTAAAGATTCAGTTTTAATATGGTTTCGTCTCAATTGCATATTATCTACATAATCATATTTTTCATTTGAGTAAAAACTGGTTTTGATTTTAAGAGAAGAAGCTGCAGATACCAATTTCAGAAGGTTGGAATGGTTTTAGGTTCATGTAAAAAAATAATAATAATAATAAAATATATATTAAAAAAAAACTTGCTTCACCATGGGCCCTAATTTTATTTTTTTTTGGTAACACCATGGGCCCTAATTTTGAGTGCAAGTGAAAAGCATCAATTACTAGCACCACAAATTTGTTATTTTTTTTTTCATTATGCATCAAAAGTTATTACACCAAATATTGGTTGTCACTTAATTGGGCAATTTTTACTTGCAATTTTTCTGAAAATCGGCCAAAACTTTAAGTTATAAAATGAGTTTCAAAACTTCAAAATCAATCATAACCAACCCAACCATCAGCTAGATGACGTTGAAAAGATGAGAAAGCATACCTGGACTGACAAATTTGATAGCCGAAATCGCCGGAAATGACGTCAGAAGTTTCGAGTGAAAATCAACCTATTTTGGGCTTTTTCCGGTGGCTGTGTTTGCGGGGTTCGTCATAGGTGGGGTGGGTCAAAGAGAGGGAAGTGAGCTGGTCACTTTGGTACCGGTCTTGGGACCGGTGGTGGCTGGACGTGGGCAGTGGCCGGCCAAACAGTGGCTGACTTGAGAGAGAGGAGGGGTTTCGTGCGCGAGAGAGAGAGAGAGAGAGAGAGAGAGAGAGAGAGAGGAAAATATGAGTTTTTAAAAAATCCAACTTTGAGTTATTTACGGTTGTGCAACTGCACTTCCGTTGATCGTAATTTCTTCGTTACAACTCGAATTTGAGCCCACTAAGTGTCTATGAACTCATAACAATGCGCTCTACGCAATGGTGCAATTCATTTCCCCAAAATTTTACCGGGTTAAAAAGTGACTAAAATGACCCTATCCTCGAGGGCAAAATTGTAATTTTATAATTAAATAATTCAATTAACTTAAATAAATTAAATAAATGATTAAACATTGGATATCGATGTTACAATGTGGATGTCGTTGATAATCCTCCCAGCAACCCCAAAAGCCTCATTGCCAGAGACGAGGTCGTTAATGGCAATTTTCGCATCTGTCTCAACCACTAAATGATTTGAAGAAAGGTCCATCACATGAATTTGGGTTGCGTTGCCTATCTCAGGTGGTGTGCTACCAGAAAGGTTGTTTCCTGCCATTAGTATGGTTTTTAGCTTTGGGCATTGTCCCCAGTTGTGTGAGATTTCTCCATACAAGTTGTTGTGGCTTATATCCATAAAATTAAGATTCAGATAAAGACCGAATTATTTGGACTATGCCAAACCTCATGTCACAAAAGAATATCTTTGTTTAGACCAAGTAGGTCCTCTCTTCATCAACAAATTGTCGACTGTACCTTACCCCCTCAAATATTATATTTCTACCATGTACCTTACCCCTTCAAGTAGGTCCTCTCTTTAACTAAAATTCAGAACATTTCAATACTTTTCCATTCTTCTAAATTTTTTGAAATCTTTCATGTAAAATTTGACTGTTTAGTTATCTATGTTTGTGTGCACTGAGTTTACAATGTCATTTTTTTATTTCTCTATTGAAAGATTTCTTATTTTCATTGCTTCTTTAGCTATCTGCTTTGTGATGCCAGTGTTATTACTCTTTTTTTTTTGTTTTTTTTTTTTTTTTTTTTAAACTTTTCTATTCAAAAGTTTTACTATTAATAATAAGCATGTAGTTGTTTTTAATTTTTTGCAATTATGACATGAATTTGAGAGCATTTGTGTTCTGTGCAATTTTTTTCCCCTTTAGTTTATGCTCGCTCACAGAATTCAGAAATCACTAACAACAAAGAATGATTGCTTGAATGACCTATAAAAATAGAATTGGTATAATTCCCAAGATATTGGAAACCCACATAAAACAATAATAACTATAGGCATGAACCTTTTTCATTTCATTGGCCTAGCTTAAGCACCTGAATGTGCAAAGAAGCTGCATGCAAGTTTTCCCAATCAGTTTTCTTTTTGTATGCCTTCTAAGTCATCCTTTGCCAGGTCTGAAGGAAATAACTAAGCGAAGTAATTATTGACATAGAGAACATTTCCCTTTGTTCAATTTGAACAAAACATAAGATTCACAATATCCTTATTAGATGTTTTAAATGTAATGAACAAAATTATAACCTATAGCCTATTATTCCTGCTTTTATTCTACTTCTATAGCCTATAGCTGTTTATAAATTATCACTGCTTCTATACTTACTTCTCCATTAGATTATTTTAATTATGTAACAAACTTGCTCATCAGGTCATTAGGTTATCTTATTTCTGTTTATAGGTCATTAGATTTTCATAGGTTATTTAAATTGTGGTTTGTGCACTTTATGTTGTTGGCCTTAATTCTGTAACAATAGCCATTGTCTTCACCAAAATTTTCTGATTTGTCTACACTAACACCTACCATTTACCAAATTTATAGCAACAGAGTCAACACCCCCCTTGATTTGATTCTATTAAAGCTTAAGTGTTTTGGCTTAATTCTCTTATACCTATTTAATAAATTGTCACAATTGTTCTTAGTTTGTTTTCATTTGATTCAATAGATTGAGCTTATAATTTAGTCCATCAGATTAATAGAATTCTTGATGTATCTAAACTGTTGTTTGTCCTATTTGATTTTTTAACTTAATTCTATCCTAATAGTTATTGCCCTCACTCAAATTTTCCATTTATCAACACTAACACTTGCCATTTTCTAAATTTATGCCAACAGAGTTAAAACCCCTACAGAGGAGAAGAAAGAACATACGCCACCTGTACAGCAGAGCCAGCAAGAGGTAAATCCCCTTCCAACAGACATGTCAAAAAAGAAAAATCCCCTTCCACCACCTAGTAGCATATAGATAAGCACCTATCCAAACTCTTTTGAACAATGAGTAGTTCAAAACTTCTCATATTTTGATGTTTTTTTATAGCTGCTTGCACTACTACAAAATAACCCTTGCGCGACCAAATTTTGCGCGACGAATAATTTTTCATCGCGCAAAGACACTTTGCGAGACGAAACTCAAAACTTCGTCGCTAAAAACCTTGCGCGACGAATTTTTTTTCGTCGCTCAAAGCGAGTTTGCGCGACCAACTTTTGCGCGACGACAAATACGTCGTCGCTCAAAGTCTTGCGCGACCAAATTTTGCGCGACGAAAAATAATTCGTCGCTCAAAGTAACTTTGCACGACAAAAAAAAATTCGTCGCTCTAAGTAACTTTGCGCGACGAAAAACAGTTCGTCGCGCAAAGAGACTTTGCGCGACGAAAAACAATTCGTCACGCAAAGCTACTTTGCGCGACGAAACAATTAACTTCGTCTCGCAAAGTCCTTATAAAAATAAATAAATTATTTTTTAAAATCTTTGTTAGAAAAATATATTATTGTTTTTTGGATTGGGTTTTTATTAGAAAATATATTTTTTAAATTGACGATCGAATTAGTTCATTGTATTCATATAGGGTCAAAGAGTGTAGCTATAAAAAAATCATCAAAATCGGAGTTAAAATAACCGTTAAATCGTGATTTTTATTTATAACCGTCGAAAAGTTTTGTCCCATTACTTGATCTCTGAATGTTTATTTCTTCCGATTTTTAGCGTATATGATCTCGAAGTATAAACAAACAAGTTTGACGGTTGGATCGTTCAAACTAGTTTCATAGAATGCGTATGCCATCAAAATAATATATTCACTAACAATTAAGAGTTTATTTATACTTTTGTTAAATATAACATAAGATTTTGTGGTATCCACTAGTGTAAATATTTTAAATTGAAGATCAAATTCAGTCATTGTATTCATATAGGGTAAAGGAGTGTAGCGGTAAAAAATCATCAAAATCGGAGTTAAAATAACCGTTGAATCAAGATTTTTCATTTATAACCGTCGAAAAGTTTTGTCCCGTTACTTGATCTCTGAATGTTTATTTTTTGCGATTTTTGGCGTATATGATCTCGAAGTATAAACAAATAAGTTTGACGGTTGGATCGTTGAAACTTGTTTTTTTGAATGCGTATGCCATCAAAACAATATATTCACTAACAATTAAGAGTTTATTTATACTTTTGTTAAATATAACATAAGATTTTGTGGTATCCACTAGTGTAAATATTTTAAATTGACGATCGAATTAGTTCCTTGTATTCATATAGGGTCAAGGAGTGTAGCTGTAAAAAATCATCAAAATCGGAGTTAAAATAACTGTTAAATCGTGATTTTTCATTAAGAACCGTTGAAATTTTTTGTCCCGTTACTAGGTCTCCGAATGTTTGTTTTTTACAATTTTTGGGGTATACGATCTTGAAGTATATACAAACAAGTATGATGGTTGGATCGTTGAATGGTGGTGTGTATATATATATATATATATACTTATTAAGTAGCTTTAAATTTATTTATTTTGTATGTATAACACTTAAGAAATTGGTATATACATTTATTAAGTAGCTTTAACCTTATTTATATTTTAAATCGTAAAAAAAATAATTTTATTATTCATAACAATTATTTTTATAAATATCGTGCTACGAACCAATTTTTCGTCTCTCAAAAGTTTGCGCGACCAACAATTCGTCGCGCAAAACTCTAAAAATTTGGGCGGGTACCAAAAATGGGACGCGGGATGAAAAAAAAATTTTTTTTAGACTTTGCGCGACCAATATATATTTTCGTCGTGCAAAAATTTGGCGGGTACCAAAAATGGGACGCGGGAATTTTTTTATTTAATTTTTTTAGACTTTGCGCGACCAATATGTATTTTTCGTCGCGCAAAAATTTCAAAATTTGGGCGGGTACCAAAAATGGGACGCGGGATTTTTTTTTTGACTTTGCGCGACCAATATACTAATATTCGTCGCGCAAAACTTTGCGCGACCAATACTCCAATATTTTTCGTCGCGCAAAGTTTTGCGCGACCAACCTATATTTTTCGTTCGTCGCGCAAAGTGATACGATTTTTAAAATGAAAATAACTCCTCCACCATTTTCTCAATGTCTTTCTCTACTCTTTCCTCTCCTCTCTCTTTCCCTCTCCCCAAATCCCACCATTTCTCTCACTCTCACTCCTCTCACTTAATCTCTCATCATCTCTCTCTTCACTATCTCTTACTCTCACTCACTCTCTCATCTCTCTTTTCACTATCTCTCACTCTCACTCACTCTCTCATCTCTCTATCACTATCTTCTCTAATTCTCTCACACTCATTTCTCTCTCTCATTCTCACTCACTCTCAATCTTGCCAAAAGGTAGATTCTCTCCAAATTTTAATTTTTTTTTCATTAATATGTGTTTTTGGAGTTAGTTTTGAGTTTGTGTGGGGTTTGGGGTTGAGTAAAGGGGAGGGATTGGAGTTTGGGTTGGATTTGTGGTATAACAATTTTAGGGGAGATTATCCCTTTTTTTATTTATTGTACTTTGTTAATTTATGTGTACATTTTGAATATTATATATATATATTTATTGGATAATTTGATCACTATTTTTCATATGTAATTTTATTTTGAATATGTCAATTTAAATTAAAGTAATTAAATTAAATTTAAAAAGTAAACATTTGAATAAATTAATATAATTAAATTAATATCAATTTAAATTAAAGTAACGAAAAAAATCATACAATTAAATTTAATTTAAAAATTAAAAATTCAAAATAATTAATATAATTAAATTAATATTAAAGAAATAATAAAACAAAAAGTCAAAAACCAAAATATTTCGTCACGCAAATATTTGCGCGACATTAATATTCGTCGCGCAAAACTCTAAAAATTTGGGCGGGTACCAAAAATGGGACGAGGGAATTTTTTTTAAATAAAATTTTTAAAATTTTTTCGTCGCGCAAAGTTTTGCGCGACCAATATTTTTCGTCGCGCAAAGTCACTTTGCGGGACAAATATTTTTTCGTCGCGCAAAGTCGCTTTGCGCGACCAATATGTTTAGTCGCGCAAAGTCACTTTGAGCGACCAATATTTTTTCGTCGCGCAAAGTCTCTTTGCGCGACGAATGAAAAAATTTCGTCGCGCAAAGTCTTTCTCCACGATCTTTACGCGACGGAATCTGCGCGACGAAGTTTCTGTCGCGCTAAAATTTGTGCGACTATAATGTATTTTGCGCGACGAAATTCTCTTCGTCGCACAAAGTGAAAAATGTAGTAGTGTTGGAACGATCACATATTTCTGGGGCCGCCCACTCCCCCAAATTACCCAAATTACATCGTCGACCTCTCTGCATCAGT